GAGAGAAGATTGCGAGAGAGATAAAAGGCGTGGATTCAGATGGGATTGTGTGGTTTAGTGGCTTAGGAACTGAGAAGATAGGTCTTGGATCTGTGGTCTTGGAGAGGATGAAATGGGAAGAGGAGAGATTCGGATGGTCGAAGAAAGGCGATCATATGACGTCTACCATTAAAAAATCTGAGAAATTTGAAGACGGTTCATCGCGTTGGAAGAGTTATCGATGTTATGTGTTGGTAGAGAGCTTTGAATTGGAGAGAACTGATGAGAGTTTGGTGTTGAAATATGAGTTTAGACATGTTGATAAGTTAAAGAGCAAGTGGGATTGAGTTTATATCAGCTTCTTTGTGTATGTTTTGTGTGCAACTTATGGTGTGTTTCATTATGCAACTTCATGTGTAATAACTTGAAACTCTCATGCATTCATGTAAATTCTAATTTAATGAAATCAAGAACCGGTTTGATTGATTATTCATGATAGGATTGTGAAACCAAGAAAATGTCAAACTTTGGAATTTAAAAATGGACAAAACCATACAAAGTCAAAGACTTTAAAACTCTTTAGACAAAAACTTGTGAAATTTGTTTACGTCTCAACTCATGGTGCTCTATATAAACAAATCACATCTCCTAGATTTCTCAATAAACCACCTGAAAGATTCTGACTGAATTCAAGATGTATGTTACAAGGCATCTCTCGGAATACCAGAGGAACTCGCCGGACTTGACACAATCATCTCCCGAGGGTCCAAATTCCGGCGTACTTGTGATTCAAGACGAAGAGTCAAAACCGACTTGTTGCTTTGGATCTTGCTACGATGGTCAGCTCAAGGGCTTACCGTTCCCACAGAACGCAAAGCTGAATGTTACATACAGAACCGGAACTAATGACCAGAGGAGAACTCACTATGACCCGGTTTTGTTCATTCCAGTTCTTGATCAGCCTCTATCTTCCAACCGTTACTATGTTATTCAACGACGTGGGAAGCACTCAGGGTGTGACCAACTTTCTAGTTATTTTTTTTTATGTGATCCGATCATATCATTGTCCAAGTAGAAAAGACCTAACTTGCATAAAAAGTATTCATAAAAACCTATTTCTTTTCTTGTAATTCTGGATTGCAGAGGAGCTTCGGCAAGTGCGACAGAGGAAGACGGAGTCCCCTTCTGCTTTTGCTTCAGCTATGTTCCTGAAGTTCAGCCACAAGAAGAAGATCCTTATGATGTATACCAACAATTTGAGATTCATCAACCAAAATCTTCATCCCGAAGGTACTTTGCAACCTCCGTTGCTCCTAACGGGATACGACCAGAGTTCCTCAAGAGAAAATATTTGAACGTTGCGTACTCGAATTCCCAAGACTTTGGTTTGACAGATGATGCAAAGGGGATTAACACTAAGCTTCGTTCCGAGCTTCCCAACGACGTGAATACAAGCGTTGTGGTAGGGAAATGGTATGTCCCTTTCATATTCGTCAAGGAAAGAAATGGAAAAGATCAGATGAAGAAATCGACGTTTTATAGCATGACCCTTCAACAAAAATGGGAACAGGTTTTCTTCTGCGAAAACGCTGACAATGAACGTT